ACAAACTAAACGAAAGCCCTGAGTCACGCGGCCCCAAGAGCCACTTCCCAAGCGAGAGAGGGAAAGAGAACCGTAGAAAATGGTGCCCTATTTATCCCCCAAATCACAGAATGCCTGCTTAGTTCCGCCCTTGGGTCCTCGCAGTTCTCTCCCTGGTACTGCTGGGAGTTGTAGTTTCCAATCACAGGAGTAGGGGGTAGAGTCCAGAAAGCTGGAGTAGGGGCTGAGTGCACAAGACTCTGCGGAGTTCCTTCAGGATGTCCTTGTCCTTAACAATATCTTTTTGCATTTGGTGGCTGCTGAGTAGCTGCTCAGTGTCCCTGGCTGGCCTTGGTGGTCAGCGGCCTCCTCTGCCCACTTTCCCTCGTGGCCTTCTGTGTCTTTCTGGGCAGCCAGCTCAGCATCTCTAAGTCAGACTTTTCCTCCTGTACAAAATGGGCTTGAACTACTGAGCTGAGGACCCTTGGGTGTCCTGAAAGTCATGGGCTCGTGGCAGGAGCTCACGCCGTCCTTCAGCCGGCCCTGTGGCAAGCCTCCTTCTGCAGCAAACTGTTATCAGATAGAATCAACAGGCAGCTCAATAAATAATTGATTTGCAACATGTGCTTCTAATTCACACAAAGAGCTTCTAACCACAGTGTGCAGTGCATGTGGCTGAAGTATTTTATGTGGGAAATGGAAGGTTTCTGATAACGTTCCTTTAAGACGTTTAACCAGGGACGAAACCTTGCGGGGTTCTGTCTGCCTTAAGTTCAAGTTACTTAGTCAGTGATTAAGGAGGTTTTACAGGCTCTGTGGTAAAAGAGCATAGAGAAAAAGCATTCCTTGGCTCTGTCCTGTAGTAAGACTTTCTGTTTGGGTTTTCACCCAACAGCCTTGCTGACATATTTCAGATGATTAACCTGCATCTCCGCAGCCTCCCGGGGCGCCAAAGATTTGCATGGTTGCCGGGATCAGTGAAGGCCCAGCTTAGGCTGCTGCTTTGCTTAGAGGAAACTCAACCTCAGTCCAGACAACTTGTCTTGGGGTGACAGATTCTAGTTACCTTTCCTTCATCTCTGCAGCACTTCTAGAGTGAGACAATGAACACAAACAACACACGGCAGTAGGACATTTAAGTGTATTTTTTCTCTGCAAGGTAATCAAACAAGTCTAAGTCAGTTGACCTGGGACACACTCAGCTGTGTTGATTTAAGTCTCCCAACTTTGCACAGAACACCCCGAACAACAGGCTAGGCACTCCCTGGGAGAGCAACACAGGTGTCTGGACAGAGAGAGAGGCTGATGCCAGCCAAGTCTCAGGACACCTCCCCACCGTCCCGGGAGGATTGTGTTTTGCTTTAGTGAGGTAAGAACAGTGACAGAACCTTTCCATCAGAGGACAAAAGTTTTTTCTTCCTGAGGGAAAAGGTTCAGAACATCACAGACCAAAGAGGGTTTTCCAGAGACCCGGGCTCGTTGCCTCAGGAAAATGCCCGGTAGGAAGCCTTGTGTATTCTCTGCCCAGTCACTCTGGACAGTCTCAGGCACCACCTTTTGTTTTCAAAGGCCTCATATCGAGGAGAGAGTGGAAGCTACGTGCTTCCGTGCTGTGTATTAGGTCACTTTGTGTGTCTGTGTTAACCCTGCTTGCAATGTGCATGTGGTGCTGGCTTAGTTCTCGATGTCTCCCTCAAATATGAGAGAGAGAGACAAAGAACTCACACAAATTGAGAATTGAGGCAGGAATGCCAAGGATATCCACAGGAAAATCTTACCTTTGACAAACAGGCAGAGCAGGAAGCAGAACAGGCAGATGTAATAAAACACGCTGCTGAGGGAAAGGCGGGTCAGGAGAGGTCAGCTGCTCCCTGTGGGTCACCTCCTGCCCGGGGATCGAACTTGTGCTGCAGTGGCTGCAATAGCTTCACAGTGCTGTGCTTTAACCTGCTGCACCACCAGGGAATGCCCGGAAACGTCTTTCTTTTGTGTTTTTTGATTTTTTAAATAACAACAGTAGGTCCTTAACTGCCCAGAAATATGTGTTTTCCACAGACGCCAATGTCACATTCAAGTAGTTTGGACTGAAATCGTACCTCAGCCTTCCTCTTCCTCACCAGCCTTGATGCCCAATCATTCCCTTTACATCTGTCCCTCCCCGTGTCGGTGAGAAATCATGTTGGTTTTTGCTCAGGTAGCAGCCTGGAGATAAGCCCTCTCCTTCTTTCTACCTTTCCTTGCAAGGGGTGTTCTGAATTCTTTCTTCCACAATGCTGGCAAGAGCTCTGACCATGAAGGCTCAGACCTAGGTGAGCAAGAGAAAAGGGCAGCTGCAGGCTAAGCCAGCCCAGGGGCCACATACAGATCTCTGCCCGGCCCCCAAATCTGGCCCCAACCCTGGGTCTGACCCCCAACCCCAGGTCCTGGAGGCGAGAGAATGAGAAACACAATTCTCAAATTTTTTTTTTTTTAACCTGGACACATGTCCCAATTGGAAATTTGTTAAGAAGAAGCAAAGAAAGAGATATCTGATGACATGGAGATGACAAGCATCCTGTTTCGCGGTGGGATTAAGTGTATCTCTGCAAAGCATTTGTTTTCCATCTAATTAACTGCACTGTACAATTTCATCTATAGGGAGAAACACTGATGTTTTACAAAAAAAAAAAAAAATCACATTAGACCTACTTCACATCATGAACAGAAAACAAGAAAAGCTGTTTTGCACAGAACAATGCTTCCAGAGACGTTCCATTCTTCCATTCTTCATTTGGATGGAGCGGTTCTACAAGCTGTTAAAAGCCTCTAGACATGGCTGTGCTTGAATTCATTTCTGCCTGTGCTTGAATTCTCTGAGGCAGCGATCTCGTTATCACCGGACCTGAGGTCGCTGGCATCCTCAAACAGCTTGCAGGACCCAGAATGTGAAGACACACACACACACACACACACACTCTCTCTCTCTCTCTCTCTCTCTCTCTCTCTCTTTTCCCGTCCCTTTAAGATCTTTATTATTAAGTGACTCATGAGTGTGTCAAGCCTTGTAAACCTGAATGGGAACTCTGAGGTGCATCTGACTGGGAATGCCGATTTTTACATGCTAATTTGGTAGGAGGCTTGGACAGTGATGGTAGGTAGCACTACAGGATGTATTTACTGGACTTCGATGCTTCCGGCAAGATGAGAATAAACAGAGTGCAGGAAGCAAAGTGAAGGAAAATGAAAATAGGGGTGTGGGACAGAAGCTAAAAGGGGGTGCATTCTTGTTGTGGTGGTTTCCTACCTGCTATATTGTAGTACTCTGGATTGGTCGTAGGGGCTCTGAGCCCCAAATCACAGCACGTACAATTTTAAAAATGGATTTTGCATCTCTAAAGCAAAATGGTGAAAATGCATTATTTTGATCTGAAATTTTAGGACAATTTTGCAACTTGCATGATCTGAATAAATATCCATAAAAGAGGAAAAAATTTATCTGTCTGCCTTTAAAAGGTAACTTTACTGCTCACAGGCAAAAGAAAAAAGGAAAGCAAACAGGATGAAAGGAAGGATAAAAGAAGGCAGAAAATCACACCTATAGATCTTATTTTTATTGGTAACTTCTGGATTATGTAATACAATTCAATTTACTGGTGTGTTTTAATTTAAATGGCGCGCGAGAGAGAGGAGGGGGAGATTTCACAGAAAAAGTAAAAATTATTTGTGTGTGTAAATAACAAATAAAACCCCATTATGGCATATAGTTATTGTGAGCTCAGCACAATATAAAAATAAAACAGGTAATGCTAAATGTACCTCATAAGTCTTCAATTTATAAAGTTTAAAGTAAGTCTCCATTCATAGGTGACTGGATTTGTGTTCAAAGTAATCACGATCAACATCTTCGAACAAGGAAAGAGTACACAAATTTGTCATATTCTAAAGTTGAAGCAATTCTATTCCAGTCAGCTTATCTACATCATAATGTGCACAAAATCAGTTTAATTATATTTCATAAAATCTTCCATTTCAAGATTTTTCCAAGTTCAATGGAAAAAATTCTTAAAATTCGCAATAGAAGCCATTTGTTTGGTAGTCACCAAGATAGGAACTATACATAACTTCTGGGTACAAATAAATACTTTCCCCTTCGCCTTCTTGTCCTGGGTTCCATCCCTTCAGTAACCTGCCAAAGTTGTATTCTTTCAAACAGACGACTACATTTTCCCTCTCAGGATCTGCCATCCACGTCCTCACCCATGTCTAAGATCCTGTTTCTTTACCTGTCCTTGGAGAAGGTAGGATTGGTCACAAGAAGCCTCCCGGCCAAAGGACCTTGGTCCCTTATACCTGTTCTTCTGTAGAAAGCCATTTTTTTGGTTGTTGTTATTGTTTTAGTTAACAGCCAAGTTTAAGAAAGAAACAAAGCAAGTCTGAATAATAATGTCTCCTGCTTCGTGGGTTAGAGAAAAATAGCTTCTAGCACTTGTTGATCATTAGCTGGGAAAGTGGCAGTCAGAGGCTGAACTTGTGATATTGGTGGCACCGGTGACCTGGGCTATTTCTGGCCATTTCTGGTGACTACCTACGCTTATTGACCCTAGGACATGGTGCTGGGTGGTAAAGTTGATCCTGGAGCTCAGCATCTCAATATTACAAGCTAGTGAGAACAATCTTACATATCTTGGCTAGATGATACAGGTATTTATAGGAAACCACTCAGGTTTACTATGCATGACTGCCTGTGTTTCTATATTTACTCATTCCATCGATCTACCTTTATTCCCCAATGCATCGCCATTGAAAATACAAGTCTATGAGATAAGAAAGGGAGATAACAAGTCAATCAATGAATGAATTGTTAACAAATTGCATTGTAATACCATGGCTAATATAACTTGCTAGCCCCCCCCCAAAAAAAAACCTACCTTTTTTAATAATTAGAAATTGTGTCATCTTTAGATTATTCCCTCAAGTTTAACCCCTTCTACTCATCCCATCACCATCAAACATAGATATAGCACTCTTTAAAAGCCCTGTTTATAACTATCTACCTTGAAGTGACTGGCTAGTGAGTAAAATCATTGAAGGGACCCTGGTGACATGTAGGACTACATTTGGGATTCTACAGAGATTCGATTTAAAGTCAGGAGAGCTTTCTGATAAGGCGGTTCCTTACACTCATCCTTGGCAGAGGTGCTGGTCTCCTCCGGGTTTTCACAGCTGCTGACAATGGCCACAGCACTAAATGACCTTCTTCTGACCTTGGTGTCAGAGGTCCCCGCTCCTCGGACTGCGGGGGCTTTCTCCATGTTGTTGTGCAGCTGTTGGTCTTTCCAGTCCAGCTGTTTGGCGCTGCAAAAGGGAGCGTACACTTCCACACTGCCCTCGAACTGCAAGCAGTTGACTTTGTAGTATTTTCTCTTAACTTCCAAGACGTCATTAAACCTATGGCCCCAGAGAATTTCTCGGGGAACATAAGAACTCCTGGATTGGTGGGAGGTTCCCGTGGAATCCCCGGTATAGATGAATGTCACCAAGATCTCAAAGTTGTCTTTGGCCACTGCTTTTCGGTCAAGGGCATACAGAGGGCTGTCGTGGTCAATCTCATGAACAATTGTGACTGGTGTGACAAGGATGATCTGGTCATTAACTAGCTTGAGGTCTTTGAAGGCCATGGTCATCCGCCCTTCGCTGTCCTCCGTGTAGCGGAGCAGCTGGGCTCGCACGGTGCCCTCCACCACGTGATTTGGCCGGAAATCACCAATGCGCCACATGAGGCAAAGCTTCCCGTCTCTCATGCCTATGAGCGCAAAGTAGCTGAACCGGATGGTCTGGGCTCTCTTCCGAGCGGTTGCCATTTTGGCCAAGGCGGCACCGATGATGAAGGTATTGATGATGCAGCTCAGGATGGACTGCAGGATGACCGTGAGCACCGCCACGGAGCATTCCTCGGTGACGCAGCGGTAACCGTACCCTATGGTGGTCTGGGTCTCCAGGGAGAATAAGAACGCCCCCGTGAAGGAGTGGACGTTGTCAACACAAGGCGTGATGTCTGGATCATTGAGCAGATCTCCGTGATGAAAGGCGATGAGCCAGAAGACAGAGCCAAAGATGAGCCAGGAGAGGATGTAAGATAGAGAGAATATCACAAACATGTGGCGCCACTTGGTGTCCACCAGTGTCGTGAAAATGTCGACTACGTAACTCCCCCATTCTCCAAAAATGTGCTTAAAGTAGACGTTGCAACTGCCATCTTTGTGAAGCAGGCGTCTTCGAGCTCTTCTCTTCTCTGCAACAATGTGCTCTGGGGGGTAGCCTGCATACTTGGGGTCCATGTTCACAATCGGATAGTTGCTGCTGTAGTAGCTCATTTTCTCTTGTGCCCTTGAGACATTGAGGTGATGCTGGTGATGGTAATAGTTCTAGGTGGGTTGTAACTTGTTGGTTCAGATTTTCAGTTACAGCCTAAAAAATAGAAGAAGAAGAAGAAGAAGAAGAAGAAGAAGAAAAAGAAGAAGAAGAAGAAGAAGAAGCACACTTATGCTTTAGCTTTTAATTTCCATCTTTCTAGCAATTTGCCAAATTTGAAGCAATTTCATGCCATCTGAAGTAACTAAGATTTCATTTGAATGATAGAGACATTCAGTATTGATTACTCATTTCAGTTTCGAATCCATCTCAGCCATTACAGGAACAAAATATGCAATTAGAAGAAATAACATTTTTATCTATGTGTACAGCTTGAGTAAACACTGTGATTATCCCAAATGAAGATGCACTACTTTTCTGTACTCACATAAGAAAATATATTATTTTTTAGACTCTTCTGACATGAGGGCATTTCAAAAAAAATACAACTCTCATGTAAAAGGCACTAACTCCGATTTTTTTTTTTTCAGTCTTATAAGCTTTGTGTTGCAGTCAGATGGTTCCCTCAGAAGAAGAAGCAATTTAGAGTTTCAACCTTCATGTTAAAATGTCACTTACATACTGGCTGCTGTGATGGAAAGTCCTTCAGCTTCACATCTGCAGCTTCTTTCACTTCCACGGAGATTGTGCACTTCTCAGGATGGAACAGAACTGACAGGGACACTTTCAGTTAAACTACACCCTCGCTCTGCAACTTGGTCTTGAGAGGAAAAAACTCACTTAACCCCAGAGGAGTCAAACCACTGCCAGGTAAGCTTTCAAAAAGGTATAAAATTGCTCTGCCTTTGTCTCTGAACAGCCATCCCTTACCTACCCCTTCTGCCCCCCTTTTTTTGGGACACTGGAAACTTTTCTCTTTTCTTCTGAATAGAAGCTGAAAATTTGCCAGCGTTGCTAATCTTGCTTTCCTCTGAAAGGCAGCAGTCTACACCGGAACTCTTCTCTCTGCTTCTCCCCGTGTGCCTAGGGTTTCAGTCATTCCTCCATGGCGTCCTTGTTCTCCCTTCAAAAGTGAGTCTTTGAAAGAACTGAAAGGACAGACAGTTCTTATCACCTTCCTGATAGAGGCCAATGAATGTCCCAGCTCAAGTGTGGAAAAATTCAATTTTAGAAAAAATGCAATGTGAAGTGATGGTTTGTGGCTTCTGTGTGTGGGGTTGGAGGGGGGGAAGAAGCACCTACAAAGTAATTTTAATTTAGGTGAAATTAGTACTTATTAGTCTACCTGAGCTAGATGGAGGAAGGGGAAGGGGAGACATTCAAGGGGTCAATCAGTGGCTGCATAGAAAAGCAGGAGGAATAGGGAGCCCTCCACCCCAATTGAACCAGCCTGAAGCCAGCCAGGGCAATTTCCCCCTCAGGACTTCTCCAGGCCTTCCCTCCTAAGACGGCAGAGAGGGTTAATTTCCTTCCAGTCAAAGGGGATCACTTTTCTTCTCCAGGGACCAAGCCCACTTTACAATAAGCACTTTGTTTGGGGGAGCACCCGGAACAGGAGTGTGGAGTCTGCTTACAGCCCCACACCCCTAAGTCATGTAGAATTTCTGCTTGCCCATCCCCCACCAGTCACCTCTTCCCCCACCACACTTCACCCACCACCACTCCAACTCCACTGAGGGGTTACCTCCTCTCCTTTGTCAGCACTTCTTTTGTGATTTGGGGAGAAGACTATACAATTTCAGGATGCAACGCAGGCTGACAAAATGCTCACTGGAATGTTGAATGTAGAATATTTCCACAAATTTTGTCCCCAACACCTAGCCTTCCTTGTAGGGCTCTGTCGGATGGGGGTGCTGAAGGGCACCTTCAACCAGGAGCTGCCCTGGGCTCTTCATCTTTGCTCTCTCACCCCGATTATTTCTAGGCATGGAAATGGGGCTAGTTATCATCAAAAGCCCAAATTAAAAAGCAGATTTGGAGATAGGGTTGTATTTTGCTAAAGGCTTCCAACCCAGTTCCTTAAAGGGAACAGCACTCTTTGTGGCAGTGTGAGAATAAGAAAGCAAAGCTCATAAACCAGGATCTACCCGAGGACTCTGCTCTTTTCTGTTACCAAGAGGGAAAAAAATGAAAGGTTTCTATTTGAAACGGCATTTGGCTGGCATCCTCTTGATTTCCAACACCAGCAACTATTAGCAACGAGCCCTTTTAAAAGCACCTTCCACAGTATGCTAATTGGCAAATGAGCTTTCAATGAATACAAGTTACAAGTGAACAAATTTGAGTTATTTCTGAATAGTGTAACCATTTCAGGGATGCGAGCTGCAGCTGTGACTATCCTGTCCCAATTCCACTGTGTCAGGATGGATTACAGTGATCGCCACTTCAGTTGATCCAGAGAAACGCTGTCATCAAATCACGTGAGGTACCTACATTTCATTCCTCCAAGTCTTTGACTGTCCAGCTATGTACACAATGCACTCTTTCCAAGACATTTTTAAGCTAAATGATGGATGATAACGTGATGAATTTTATGGAGTTCTAACCATAAAAGTCTATACAATGACCAAAGAAATGTGCTAAGACACTTTTGTCAAAATGGCTGAACCAAAGAAATAGGAGTTCATCTTTTGTTTAGTATATTGTGTTCATTTTAGAACTTTTCAATCATTTTCCGTTGAAAGACAAGAGGCTGAGACAGGTTGATTGACGGGGCATGCTATATTAACCTTTGTATTGTTGATGACTAGAAATCAGCTTTAAAGATATCTGGGTGTTTTGCTAGTCATGTCACCCTTAATTCCATCATAAGAAGCCATTTGCAAGGTGTCATTTCTGTATTTCCTTTGTGCACCTGAGCCCTTTAATTTTTGATAGTCACTACACGATTGATTGGAGAATCTTTTTTATTCAAATGGCATTTGATCCTTGCCCTTAAAAATTGTGAACTATTAAGTGGAATCAGGCAAGGCCCCTTTCTGCACCAATTTCAAATTATTTTGCCAAATCACACATAACTAAAGCAGGAGGAGAACCATCCCTGCCCCCCACACCCCCAACTATGCTCTGACATTCTTTTAAGTTTCCCAGAATAATACTCAGTACCTTCTGGATGGGGATTTCTGGAGATGCCATCTAAGTTCAGTACAACTTTCAGACATTTAGGACTCCTACATTGACTGCCTCCCTTGGGACACCTAAGAGACTCAAACATTCTCAGAAATTACTTGTTAACTTCAGACTTAAAAAAAAAAAAAAAAAAAGTCCCATCCTCTACTTTGACTAGTGGGATCTGCTTTTCGTCCTCAATTTTCTAGATCTCTGTATAAATCAGGAAGTAGCCTTTACTGATTTAGCACATTTCAGATGGAATTTGTGCAAATGGGACACAAGACAGGGAGCTTTCTCCACAAAACAAATGAGCATCCTGTTTCTGTCCCCGGTTTCTTGATATGCAAATATGCTTCAGTCACACTCACCAATTTTGCAGCAAACCCTTTGCCATATCCTCTCAAATTCATCCCTGCACAAGACAGACTATGCTTGTTGCCAGTTATCTCATTAACATGCTGTGGGTCAAGGCTAAGCTTGAGCCCACTGTGTTGTTTGCTAATAAAATTCAACCTTGTCTTTAGCATCAATAAGACTATATTCATAGAATGACTGTCTTTGTATCATTTGAGATGCACCACAAATAATGGTCTAACTTCCATAAAATACAACAAATAATTCCCACAGCCTTGATGAGTCACAGAGCCCTTCCCATTGGTCAGCAGATTACTTTCCTGACAACTAATGGGTGAGAGGAGATATTTTGGAGGAAACGCAAGAGCTGATGGGAGAGCAGAAAAGGTGGCTGCATCTCCTGTGCAGCTCCCTCTGTTTGAATTGAAGACAGCTTGGGTGGGACTCACCAGATGTAAGGTGGGTGGTGTAGGCAGCTGGCACCCATGGGTGGGCCTTGTTTGCTGGGGAGAAAACTGGGAGGCATGTCCATGAGTGAGGACAGAACCCAAGCAAGGGAGTTTATTTTGTGCAAAACCAGGGCCACAACTTGTTATCCTGGGATCACACCTGGACTTTCTCTTGCCTGGGGCCTTCACACACTTTCAGAAACATGTGGGTGGCTGCCTTGGGGCAGTCATTGAATCCCAGCTTCACCCAGGAGCTGCTGGACACTGCACACTTCTCCAAATCCTCCTTTTCACTAATCTCCAACAGCTTCTCCTTTGTAAGTAAGCCCCCAGCATCTTCCTAGTTCCATCTCAAGAGATGACCTCAGCTGGCTCTGCAGTTTTCGCTGCTTCTGCCCTCTTCTGTATCACAACCTTACTCTCCCACTCTGATCTAGCTTCTCAGTGACCATGGATTTTACCTCTTAATAGTGCTTCACAATTTCTCCTGAAAACATGTAAGGAAGCTTTGTCAGATTATGACAGGTGAGGTGTTAAGCACCAGCAACTCAGCTGAGAGCTGGGAAGGAGTAGCAGAAATCCAGGGGCGGGCCATGATGCTCCTGACTTTATCTGGGGAACCAACTTCTACTCTGTGTTTTCTTCATATAATATCTACATCCCAATGAAATACTCTACCTCACTGAAATGATGCTGTTTTATAAAGAGAGAGAAGAAGTCTTGAGTCTGGGCTTTGTGTTTCTCCATATTCTGGTTCAGGATGGTGCCAACACAAAGGCAACTTATAACTCTAAAGGGTTCTGTCTTAAAAATCAAATTCCCTTATTAAGAAAGCATTGGAGATAACATGCCATTGTAGAGAACAAGAAAGCAGTCTGTAGCTCTGGGTATGTCCTCAAGGTCCTGAGGGGTTTGTGTTAAGTGTTTCCCTGAATCTGAGGGTGCCCCCGCCATGACTGGGGATAGTGCTATCTGTGTGTTATAGACTCAATGTGATTATGAATGGGAACCATCTTTCACAGTGCCCACCTCAGAGCCTTTATTCAATATTTACTGTGAGAATCTGAATCCCATAGGCATGCACTGGTACCTTT